TGCACGTGCTGCTCCTGAGCGCGAACCGTAACGGGTTAAGTTAGGTACCGACCCACCTCACATCCACACTCTCTCTCTCTCTCTCTCTCTCTCTCTCTTTCTCTTCCCCCTTCTTCTTCTTCCTTCCTCCTTCCATCCGGCGACGTTTTTCCCGCGTTCTTCCGTTTACTTCCCCAAAAGGGAAGGATCTCGTCGTCGGTGGCTGGCCGATTCGACGGGCCGGAGATTTTGACCGAAGCCACCTGTGCGCGCGCGGTGGGTGGCTGCTGCCGCCAAGAGACATCACCCGCGCTCCCCGCGAATACAACCCGCGTTTTCCAACCTTCTTCTCTAATTTTACGAGCCGTTGACTCGGTCGATCGATGGAACGAGCCGCGCCGCGTTTCCCGATACGCGTCGTTGCCCCTCGCTGGTGACGTAACCCCCCCCCCCCTTCCTCCCCCTTCGATCTCGCCTCGCGTCGTCCATTCTCTTCCGCCATCTCTTTCTCTTTCTCTCTCCGTTTCAGATCACCAAGCTGAAGATCGACAGCAACCCGTTCGCCAAGGGGTTCCGTGACTCGTCCCGACTCACCGATTTCGAGAGGTAAATTAAAAGAGGGAAGTGGGTGGGGAAGGGAAAGGGACGATAAACACGCGCGCGCGCGTAATCGAGCAGCTTCCCTTTCAGGGAGACGATGGAGTCGATGCTCGCGGAGCAACAATCGCTCAGGTTCCCCCATCGGCTCCCGTTCGAGATGGATCAACTTCAAGCGACGGCGGTGAGCAATCTGAGCCTGGAGGAGAAGGCGCTCTGGGCGGCGCGCTCCCAGATGCTGTTACGGGCGGCGGCCGCGGTCGCTGTCAGCCCTTACGCCCAATTGGTCGGGCCCGCGGCCCTCGTCTATCCCGGCGCCTCGTCCGCCGGCACCAGCCACCAACAGCAACACCAGCAACACCAGCAACAGCAGCAGCAGCAACAGCAGCAGCAGCAGCAACAACAACAACTCGGCCACTTGTGGTGGGCCTCGTCGATCGGCCCCACGCTGTTCGCCGCGGCGCATCATCACCATCAACAGCAACAGCAGCAACAGCAGCAATTGGCCGCGGGATCGAGCACGGGGCCAGCCGCGCCCCGGCCCCTCTACCCCTCCGCTTTGGCCCTGGCCCATCACCGATTCTCCCCGTACCACGCGGCCAAATCGTCCGCCACCTCGCTGGGACCTTCGCTGTCTCCCTCGCCCTCCTCGCGAAGGGCCACCCCCTCGCCGACCGACAGCCTCGGAAGAGACGTTCGAGATCTGTCGCCCTCGTAGTGTCCATCCCGTCGTCCGTCGCTCTCCCTCTTTCTCTTCTTCTCCTTCTTCCGCGAAAGTAGGAGGAGGAGGAGAAGGAGGAGGAGGAGGAGGAGGAAGAGGAGGAGGAGCGTCGCGTACACGGTACACGGTCGTCGGTGTTGAATCACCTCTGGAGAGGTATACTCGACTACGTGCGTTTTTCGCGTCACGATCGATCGTATGACGACCCTTACTGTATATAGCAATATATATATATATATATATATATATATATATATATATATATGTGTGGTGTGTGTATATATATATATATAATATATATATATATATATATATATATATATATA